TATGGCTGAGCCTTGCATTATACACAGGGATGTTATGGCTGAGCCTTGCATTATACACAGGGATGTTATGGCTGAGCCTTGCATTAGACACAGGCCTACCAGTTAAGCTACATATAAACCTAACAAATAATTTCAGTGCTGTTTAAATTTGTCAAGTTACCTTTAAGTAAGGCTACCAAATTCTTAGGAATTTCAGAAATCTACCTACAGAATTCAGGTTTGTCCTAAAAAATCATCAGAGTAAAGGTGTTTGAAAGCATTTGTGTCCTTTTGCAAATTAAGATAACTTTGATGCTCATTGAAGGTGATTATGCTGCAGTTTTCTGGCTGCAATCAGTTTCCGCTCCAGAGATGTGGTAGCAGAAATAAAAGGAAATGCGAGGCTTTACTTGAGTCCCCATCCCGCATTCATGTGCATTCACGGTTAGTGCTGATATGTGGATTTCCCATGAGCCCTTGTTTTCATGTTCCCTTTTGTTTTGCCCATTTATTTTTGCTTTTGGTTTCTGAGCTGACAAATTTAATATTAGCAATTCTGCAAGTTTTTAAGGCTTGGAAGGAGACTAATTAAAAATAGTATTTAATAATAAGATTAACAGCATTCCATAACAGTATTTAATGGTGTCTTTGATCATCCTTTGATCATCCTACATACAGTAGTAGACCATAGTTTTAGAACATAAGAACTACAGTATACAAACGAGAGGAGGCCATTCGGCCTATCGAGCTCGCTTGGCATTTAGATTCTAACATTGTTCATCCCTCACAAAATGAAGGAGGGATTTCTGCTAAAGAGTGCACTGGAATAACATGAGGAGACTGAGCTTACGATTCAGCAGCTGTTTGAGGCTAATGAGGGTGATGTTCCAGAACCTTCTACGAATATTTGAATGTAACACACTGCCCTCATAATGGAGAGGAATTTCTGTATGTTCTTCACTCGCACACAAGGTAACCTAATATGTCTTTCAGCTTCAGCTAAAGCCTCAGCTCAGGGATTGTGGGAAAAAATAAAAGGCCTCGAATCGTTAAGAATGTGCAACATTTTCTACAGCAAGGGTAGGCAGCCCTCTTCCTGGGGTGCCAGTATCCATCAGGTTTTTCCACCCTACTTGATGAGTTACTATCTGCCTGAGACAGGGGTGTAAATTAAATAATCAAAACCATCCAATACAACCCCCAGGGCCCCCTTGAATGGGTGGAGACCTCAGCCCCCAAATGTTCTACCCAAAGTTATGCCCTTGGCCGGACAGTGGTTCTTCAGAGACCAAGTGTGGAAATCCTGCTGGATATTGGCACTCCAGGGTCTGGGTTGGCTGCCCCTGATCTACAGTCAGGATGGGACACAGAACAGGGTTGTGGGATGTAATCATTTGACTTGAAGCATATCATTAACTGGGGAGGATGTCATCATTTTCCGATGAATAACACGTAACTCTCTGCCTCCATGACTGTCTCACTTCTGTAAAAGTTGGGCTGGTTGACAGTCAGACCTTTTTCAGTCTCTTTAGCCTGGAAACAGTTGCCTGGTTTCCCAAATTCAGGTCACCGGTGTGAACATGGACAAGAATCTGTTCTCCAGCTACAGCATCTAATAAAGGGAGGAGGAGCTCACAACTTTGCAAACAAGCTCAGCATCTGAATCTGATTGCATCTGGGCACAGCTTGTCGATATATCAGTGCCTTGTCATGTAAAAATATGTGAACTCCTCCATTCCAGGTATTTAAGTGCATATTCTGAAATGATACGAATGATTCAGCTCTTCTAAACATCGCTGTCCTTTTTAAGCACTGGTACACCAGGCTGGAAACTAATGGCTAGTTGAGTAAGTCGGGAAAAATAGCTGGTTTCTTTACTCCAGCTTTCTATCCTGATGTTTCCTCAATGCAGGGCTTGCCCCCGTTGCATACTCTCAAAACCTATGGGACCCAATTATATTCTGATAGAGGATACCATTCTCTTACATTGCTGCTCCTGACTGGAAGGAGACCAGTGCTTTGCCGGGAGCCTTTGAAAGGTACAGTGCTCATTGAGGGATAAGGATTAGCCTTGGCATGTTTCCTGCGACGCACAGTTGCCTTTGGGAGAGCAATTTTCTACCAGGCTCATCTCTGACATTCGTTAAAGAACCACCCTCTTGAGACCCTGATGGTGATTAGTCTTCCACATGGAGCTCATAAGCTGTGGTAAACCTGAAATGGGACATCAGACAGCACTTCACCATAATGACCAAAGTAGACAGAAGTCATGAAATGGTCCCAAGGCATAGGGAGTAAAACATGGTCACATCAACTCGGCTCATAATAAAACACATCAGTAGAATGTCTGCCTTTGTCACTTGGAACTTAAAGTAGTTACAGCTCTCAACAGCACCTTTGACCAAGCCTTTGAAATGTTGGGTGGGTTAAAGAATGATCTAAAGGGACCAGGGGGAGATCGGAAGGCCCCAGGGTGGGTCATGCTTATGATTGGATGGGCCAGACCCCCCCACTATAGAGCCACGCCTGCTTTTAACTCATTTTCAAAATCTGTTTAATGGAATCGATGCATTCATGCAATACTAAGTTTTCACCCTTACATTTTAATTGTCCCCCTAAGGTGTTCAGTCATTTTATTCTTACTTGAGACAGAGCATGGATGAGAGCCCAGCTGTCATACAGATGTTGTACAGGGGTAAGATGTAGGGCCGTTGGTTTGGGGGGCCTGGTGTTTGTGCTCCTCTGGCTACCCATAATTACGTGATTTCCGGAATCAGAGACCTTCATTGTTTTTTTTTCCTCATACAGCTTCAGCTATGACACACTGATCATTATGCAGGTTTGCTGAGACAGAGAGGGTGCAGACTGTCACATCAGTCATAACAATGCTTGACATTCCATGGAACTGACTCTAGGGGGCGTTCTTTCACAGTAAGGCGGGCCACAGTAAGCATGCTCTTCAGCTCTGTATGGAGTGTGTGTGTGTGTGTGTGTGTGTGTGTGTGTGTGTTTGTGTGTGTACCAACATGTCTGTTTCTCTATTCACTTGCATGTCTGTGATCATGCATGTGTGTGCAAGTTTGTGCGCAAATTACTGAACTGCAGCAATTATGTTTATGTAATTATCGAAACAAAATCGAAATGAAGTCATTAGCCAAGGAAACTCATTAAACTCTTACCGCAGCGTTGTCTTTGTGTGCAATCATAAGATGACCATTAATGAATAGGCAAGTTCATAAGTGTCCATCTTTAAAATTGACTGAGGCTGTGATTGATTTCTGTAAAGGAGGGAAGCAGATGCAGGCACTGACAGAGTAAAATCGCCAGCAGATATCAAAGCCAGTGGGCTGCAGTGAGAAGCTGGGCTGCCAGTGGGCTGCAGTGAGAAGCTGGGCTGCCAGTGGGATGCAGTGAGAAGCTGGGCTGCCAGTGGGCTGCAGTGAGAAGCTGGGCTCAACCTGAGCAGAGAGGAGCCTGAGGATGACACAGTGAGAGAAGAGAGGGAGCGAATCTGGGAACAAAGAAAGACAATTTGTGGATTCTAAACTGCGAAAGGTCATACAAGCTGGGGAAATGGCACCATATAATTAGAGCACACACACCTGGGAGGCTGACGATAATCACACATGCTGTTATCTAATGTTCTTTTTTTAAGACACTCCTAAAGTCGTAGGATGTTCTAATTTGGGGTTAAAGTCCTATGGCCTCATAGAGACACACTTCAGCAAGGAAACGGAACAGAATGATTATGTTGAACCTCCGCTGTGTTTAACGAAGAATCATTATGCCTCAAAGATCTTTGGTTCAGCTGTTGTTCCTGGGTGTCCTCTTTTGAATCAAACTTTATAAATCATTAAAATCACATGGTTGGTTTCACTTGAGTCTAATCGGGGTGGCCGGGGCGGGGGGGGGGGGGGGGGGGGGGGGGGGGGTTAAGATGATTCCTGCAGCTTTACAAAACTTAGAATATAATTGGATTGGTCTGGGTTGGAGGCCCAATATGATATGGTTTCATCGGGCCCAAAATCTCAAGCAGCACCACTGGATCTAATATTGAGTTGACCCAGTGAACCTGGTAATATTGGGTGGTTAGCCAGAAATAAGTGTGCTGTTTTCTGTATACTGGAAAACATAAAATCTTTTGAGCAAAGATTCTTTATTTAATTCTTCTGCATGAGTTGACATTTACCTTTCAGTTAGTGAGAAGCTAATCAGTCTGTTGATGTTGATTCTTGTCTAAGTGGCTAACCAGGTTTAGTTGTTTTTAATGTTGTGCTGTGGTTGCCTTCTGTGCTGTGAAATGGATGGTCTGTTAAGATTTTTCCCCACTTAATAGCACGGGTGGTCTGCGTAATGATTCAAAGTCAACTAAACGCTTAGTTCAGGATTCCAATCCATACCCAAGATGGGCAAACATGGAGATACTCAGTTAAAGGGCTTCTACAGTCATGCCAAGTTCTCCGTATGTTCCACATTTGGCGTGGTCAGAGGTCGTGTTCACATGCCAGAGGTCTGTCTGAATATGCTCGACCACCTGAGTCTTCAGCAGGCTTTGGTTCCTGGCCCGGACAATAGACCCAGGCCTCCCTCAGAGACCCCCTATGCACCATGAAGAGGAATGACCCCCCCCCCCCCCAGAGGGCACCTGTCAGGATTTCAGCCAATGCTGTTAAATAAATCCTTGTCAAGACACAAAGGGGTTATTGCTCACTGAACTGCCAGCCAGATCCTAAATCAGGAGGGGAAACAGGACCCACAACAAGACTTCTCCTACTAACCTTTCAGCTGTGAACAGCTGAGCATAGGTAGCCTTGACCCTGGTGTCAAGTGGACAGAGAAATCACTTTCTGTGCCCCCCAGCACTGACTGGACCTTGGTCGAAATTACAGCCGCAGATCACCATTAATTAACACAGAGATTGCTTTTTAAAATCCCTAAGATATTAATTAGAAAGCAAATCGGCCCGAGTTGCCAGATGAATGGACCCGGTTCTAATTTCATTCGGTCAGTTCTGGCCAAGGTTGTCCTTAGACACGGGAGGTTCTGATGGCCCTTGAGATGAATTACACTGTAGCTGGCAAAGATGTAGTGTAAGTGGTAGAGTCCAGAGGTCTGGTCTTCACATCCACAGGAGGACACATGCCAAGGTTACAGCACAGAAAGAGTAACGGGCCTCCTTCTAACAATCTAACCGGCTGAATCCGTAGAAAGGAATTACTGCTGTTATATAGGATGCAGAATGATTCTTATTTTAAGCAGTTTTAAGTGATGACTTCTGCATCCATGTGGCTGACAGAGAAGCAATGAGACCCTCAGGTCATGCAGAAACAAAAAACTGCCATTTAATTGCAATTTTGATAATTAGTGAACAGTAGTTAACAATCTTCATGATGTGTTTCCTAGTTTCTCTATAAGTAAGCCTGCTGTGTCTTACTGCTTTTAATTAGCCATCGTGATACTGTAAGAGGTACTGTAATGACAACAGGAAGGAGATAACTAATTAAGGGCTAATAATAACAAGCTGCCTTAAGAGTAGATTATGTTTATTTTAGCAGCTGCTTTAATTAGGTCTGGAGTTTTGTGTAGGTGCTGAAGTGGGACGCTGCTCTTAAAAAAAGACCCACTGCATCCTGTTAATGTTTGGGCGGCTATGTTGCTTTTTCTAAAAACGGAAAAATGTTCCAGTTAGGTCACATACAAGCAAGGCAGTACGTGGTGGTGACCTGAACTCCCCCGAAACCCGGAAATCAATTCCATGTTGCGTAAGCGAAGAAAATAAAGTCCTGAAAAGACTTCATGTTTATCATTGTATCTCTCATTTTCTCATTTACCTAAATATAAATTTTTATGACTTTTGGTTGTATTAGTTGCGCCGACGTTCAGCGTTGATCGCACATTCGGAACTCCAGGTCGTCCAAGGAAACCACTCCGATTCATTTCTTGCCATACATTGTCACTCGCCTCTGTGTTACGGCCTGACCCTAGACCAGGTCGTATTAAAATTTTTTAAACCGTGACAGCAAAAAAACAAATGAACACACATAAAAATACTAAGCCTCAGTAAGACTATCACAAAAACAGTAGGGTGCTTCAGCAGAGTAGCAAACGCTGTCATCATTAATTTGCTATTAATTTGCATATAATCTCAGTAGAGTATGGTGCTGAACTGCCTTTGGCCTTGTGTCCTTCTCTGTAAGGACTTTGGAAGCACTGGATATGTTGCTGTTTGTGTAATTCATCAGGTGAGGCTGCTGGGAAACACTGAGAGCTGACAATTAAACAGGATGCATTAGAAGTCTTTGGTTTTTTTTTTTTAACTGAGTGCACCTACACTTTGCAAATTGTCTGTTTCCATCAAAATATTCTGCCGCCGGCTACTAGAGATGACTTTGACCATTTTAGTGCTTGGGAGGGAGCTGCAGAAAAAAACAAGAACGTTCTTGCTCATGATGATTTTTTTTGAATAAGATAAATAACCACAAATCTAAATGTATTATGTCACTTTAAGGAATTATGACAGTTTTCTGTCTAGAGGACTTACCATGATTAAAGACAAAGCATCTCTGCAGCCCACTTTGTTTGCACTCAGTGCAGTAAACATTATCTAATCCTAATGCTTTGCTGCGGCAAATTTTTCATCTCCATAACTTTGACGTCTGAACCCCATGGTGTAGTTTTAGTGAAATGGCTGTCATGCAAAGTTGGGGGGCACTTCATAATCTCAGCAGGGTGCCCCTCCCTCCCTTGTGCTACCTTGCAGCATTTACTTTGGTGTTCATTCTGCAAAACTTTGGTGTTTTTACATAACTAACCTACATGTGTTTTTGAGGTACTCAGGTCACACTGGGAACTCAACTGAAGAGTTAATTTCCAAAGCTCCATTCGAGTCAATTTTCTGTTTCTTTTGAGATGAGACCTAAAGTCAGGCTTCCTCATCATATGTTACATTATATGTGACTGGGAACCTAAACTCCCTCAGTCCTCATGCAATCAAATTAAGAACTTTCGATAAATTTCCAACCATCCTCAATATTTTTTCTCAAAAAAAAAACCGATACTTTTAACTAGACCTTTGAAGAATGTAGGCTTTAACCAGGTATCTGTATCGTACTGCCTTTTACTGCAGCAAGTGTTGGGGAAGTTACTAACAGAAGTAATCTATCACAGACAGATTGAAAGTTCAGGTCCAGAAAGTAAAAATCCAGACCATAGTTTTGTTTCAACAAACCATTCGAGTGCAAAGAGTCACAGTCACAGAGTACTAAACTGGTTGGTTGAAACTAAGCCGTGGTCTGGATTTGTACTTTCTGTACCTGAACTTACTTTTGTGAGTAACTTCCCCAACACCGACTATGTCTTGTCTCATCTTCTCTGAGCATTAATCAGCATTTGGCCATGATATGGAAAATGGTAAAATGAAGGACAGCATTTTCACAACCGTAAGTTCTGTGCTGAGAGCAGTATTCAGTCTGCACTTCTGGCTCCTTCCAGTCCTCTGATTAATCTGTATCGTCGACTCCAGCTAAGGAAAGAGAAAAAAATCAAGTCCTCTTCTACTTATCACTGATACTCAAATGCACTGCATTAGTTCTGGACCGCAGTTACGACTGGCCGGTTTTGGAATTTTTAAAAGGAGTGTTGTTAGTATGCAATAACCAACTGAAGTATGTTTTTCTCTGTGTGCTTTTTTAGCCCCTTTGACAGACCAGCCACCTAAGATCCTGTTTCCGTCAGAAAACAAAATGAGCGTGATGGAGATGCAGATTGGTAAGTGTGGACCCTCTCTTTCTGCTTTGCTCCTTGTCGCTAATTACTAAGGTTACTTCAGGATTATTCTGGGAATGTGACGCCTGTGCAGTTTGTCTGTACTTGGGGTTATGATGGAAATACTGGAATAATGTACTTTTTTTTAGCTCCACTGTGCAAGTTCTTCAAAGATGCTTTCAAAAAAGTACTTTGTTTAAGTTTGCATGGATAGACGTGGTTTCTGAGAAATATGAATTGGGTGCCTCAGTGGATGTGCAGTTGGGTGCCTCAGTGGATGTTATTGGGTGCCTCAGTGGATGTGCAGTTGGGTGCCTCAGTGGATGTNTTGGGTGCCTCAGTGGATGTGCAGTTGGGTGCCTCAGTGGATGTTATTGGGTGCCTCAGTGGATGTGCAGTTTAGTGCCTCAGTGGATGCACAGTTGGGTGCCTCAGTGGATGCGCAGTTGGGTGCCTCAATGGATACGCAGTCGTCTCCTGGGTTTGGGATTCGAATCCCATCTCAGCTCAGTGAGATGGACTGACAAGGCTCTCCCAGTAATGGGATTTGAACCAGCGACCTTCCGATCAAAGGTGGCCCTAACCTGCAGAATCACACATCACCCCTAATCATGGGCTTAAATTACAGAGGGGATGAAGGGCTGTAGAACTCCCCCCCTACAATAATCAAACTGGCCAATACACTCCCCCCCAAATATTCACAAAATAGGTGGAAACCTTAACCCCCCCCCCCAATATTCAACCAAAAGGTGTTCCCTTGTCCATTATCTCTGTAATGTAGTTCATATGAGGCTTATATAAGTACCATGTTATGTTTGTGTGCAGAAAAAAGTTTGTTTGGATCCTGTTTTTTGTCTTTGTTCTGAATACAGTTTTCTGGGGAAGAAGTTTCTGAAACTCAAACAGCAAAAACTCACAAAGCATCAGCTTGCTGTTCCCAATGCTGAACTCTGAAACAAATACAAAATTAACAAAAGCTTAGCAAGAGCACTTTATAAATGAGCTGTGTTTACACACTGACATGACTCCCATTTACTTTCCCCTTTTTTGGTGTCTGTTTTGACTGGCAGTACTAGCTGTTGAGATGAGAAATAAGAGCAGCCTGTGACTGACAGTCTACAATAATCCCATTGTGGTGCTTTGGAGAACCTCATCTCCTCTTCATTCATTAATAGTGTGATTATGTTGCTGACAGATTAGCCTGCTGATGGCTCACACAGACCTTTTACCATGTAATTACTGAGGCAGGATTCTATGAAGGGTTTTATTCAGATGATATTGCTCATAATCTAGTGATTTAAGATTGATTTAAGAGCTCAGGTGTTAATATTCCCCTATACATGCTTTTGAAAGACACAATGCTACGAGTATCGATATTTCATCTGTGACTTTGTTGTTTACAATTTAATAAGGTTCCTGAAACAACACAAAGCATTTAAATAATAATTTAAATAATTTTTGTCTGTTTTATAAAACATTAGAAGAAGAGTAGTTATAGGACAGGTTTAGGGCAGAAGGGCTTATTGCCATTAAGTGAACTAGACTTTATCAGTTTTTATTCAACACATTTTCAGTCCTGTAATAGATGGTGTAATTTTAATTATCATGTATATTTTTATTTAACCCAGTTAAATAATGTGGACAGACATATGAAGCATGTTTCACAAAAGCATGTGACTTTTTTTTTTTTTTTTTTTTTTAAAAAGCATGTGACATTTACTGTATTTTAGACTAAGCAAAGCTTACGATTTTTTCAATTGTAAAATATAAAAAACGAAAATGTCTTTGGTTACCAATTAAAATGGCGAGAGACGCAGGGTAAAGGAGGCATGCGATCGGCCTGCTGAAAATCTTCCGGGGATTAGAACTATGGCATCCTGTCAGGCGACAATAATCTAAAGTGTTTTTGCTTCCTGTGTGTCTTGTATACAATGTATATTTGATACCATATATGATACTGTAAATCTGCTAAACACTCGTTACTCAAACCTCTCGCTGTTTCAAAGCCTCCCAAAGGTCTTTCTTCCTCATTACATATGTAGCTTGTCTAGTACTGTAGGTGCATGGGGTCCAGCCAGTGGACACGTCGGTGCATATAACCGATGCTGTTCGGAAGATCTCAGGCCAGAGTCTCCTGAACCCTGTGCTCTAGATTTTTCAGAGCCTTTGTTTTAGATCAAAGTACTTTCTTGTCAAGTCCTGTATTCGAATGTACTGAAAATGTTGGTTTTCAACACAGTAAGAAAGAGAAACATTGTTTTCCATTGCAATATGTATAAGAATTGGGTCATGGTTTGTTTGCAGTTCATTGTCCTTTAATATGTGTATACTTATGCAGAGACATGTTGCACGAAGCGGTTGGCATTGACTTATTGTGTGGTGAATATAATCTCCCTAAAAAATTAGCAGTGTGGACCTAAGAGAGTGACCGTAAATCCCCCTGCAAAGCAGAGACAGGGGAAATTTACGGTGTTGCCGGGAAGAACGGCCTGTACTTTTTTCACAGCACAAAGGTAAAGAACTTCCATTTGAAAACTAAGTTGCACCGAAATTGCTGAAATTTTGCAGTGAGGCGGCTTTGTCTCCATTTTCTTGTGCGATTTAATTTGCCAGTGATTTCCAATTAGCAGGCCACGTATGGAGGACGCTATCCCTGTCACCACTGGGCTGGTCCACGTGGCCTCAGAGTTCATAGCAGATCCCTGTCACCACTGGGCTGGTCCACGTGGCCTCAGAGTTCATAGCAGATCCCTGTCACCACTGGGCTGGTCCACGTGGC